GGCATAGGAACAGGCATTATGAGAGAATGGGGAAGGAGACCTATCAAACTCCCACATGCCCGACTAGTTAACACTGTGATATACTTTTGACACTTATTCTTAGTTGATCTGTGGCAAAAGGTCCTACAATCTTGCAAGACATTGTTTTTGCTATTGTTGCTATTAGATGCCATCGAGTAGAGTACGACTCAGGGCAACCCTATGAAGAACAGATCTTAACACTCTCCTGTCCTGTGCCATCCTCACAGTCTCTGACATATATGAGTTCATTGCTGCAGTCACAGTGTCAGTCCATCTGCTTGAGGTTTTTCCTATTGTTCACCATCCCTCTGTCCTTCCAAGGTTGATGTTTTTCTCCAAGGAATAGCCTCTCCTAGCAATATGCCCAAAGTATGTGAGACAAAACTTCATCATTATTGCCTCCATGGAGCCCTCTGGCTTCTTCACCTTCTCCAAGGTTTGTTCTTTTTGTTCTTTTGGCAGTCCATGGGATATTCAGTACTCTTCGCCAACACCACAGTTCAAAGACATCAATTTTTCCTTCTCTCCTGCTTATTCACTGTCCATTATTCAGATGAATAGCAAGTGATTGGAAAGACCATGGTCTGAATTAGAAGCACTTAGTCCTCAAACTAACATCATTGCTCCTTAGTAATTTGTAGAGGTTCCTGATTGTAGACTTTCCCAGTGCAATGCATCTCCTGATCTCTTTACTTCTGGTACAAAGAGTGTTTATTAATTGTGGATCCAAGTATGATGAAGTCATTGACAGTTTCAATATATTCTCCATTTATCATAATGTTTCCTATTAGTCCAGTAGGAAGTTTTTGTTTTCCTAATGTTGAGATGAAATCCTTACTGAAAGGTACAGTGTTTGATCATCTATAGCAAGAGTTTTAAGCCCTCCTCACATTCAGCAAGCAAGGTTGTATCATCTGCATAATGAAAGTTATTGATGAGTCTTCCTCCAATCCTGATGCCATGTTCTTCTTCAGAGTTCACATTCTCACATAATTTGTTCAACATACAGATTGAATAAATGAATTAGAGAAAGGATAAAATCTTAATGCACACCTTTCTTAATTTTAAACCATGTAGTGTTCCCGTATTCTTCTAGGTGGTATAGCACTGTTCTGTGCATTGCTGTACAGAGGTAACTCGTGGTTGCTGTGATGCTGAAGACTGTTACAGTGATGTGCCAATCGTGGTAATGGTGTTGGCTAGAGCTTCCCGACTAAAACAAGCCTGCAAGCAGGAGTGGCATCCACTTCCAAAATGGCTTGCCTCCGGAAACTCTATGTACGAACAGTGCTCAGGCTGTTTGTTCATAGCGTCGCTATGAGTTGTCTACGACTCGACGGCATCAAACAACAACAACAACAGTGTTCCCTTGGTCTGTTCACACAATAGCTGCTTCTTGGTCTAGGTATAGGTTTTACAAAAGCACAATCATTCTTCTCAGTGTTAAGTATAATTTGTTATGATCCATATCAAATGTTTTAAAAATAGATATTCTTCTACTATTCTCTGCTCTCAGCCAGGATCCATCTGACATCAGCAATGATATCCCTGGTGCAATGACCTCTTCTGAATCCAGGTTGAACTTTTGGAAGATGTCTTTGAATGATCTTCAGCAGTATTTTGCAAGACACAGAAAGTAGAAGGGGAAAGATTACTACTTGGTTCTGTGTAATAGGCATTCTTAGGTGAGTGTTATAATTAGAGAAATGTGTTGTCAAGGAAACTGGATCCTTCCTAATGGCAATGTTCACCATGGATGTTAATTTTAACTCTTCAGTAACTACAGGGCTGTTTTAACCACAATTCTTTCTGATTCCAGCTTCTTACACACAGGCAAAGGGCATGCTTATTTTAACTCTGGCCAGAACTCAGCACACCATTTGCAAAGAGTTACTGAATAGTCTTACTTGATTTAATATTCCACTTCTAAAAACTTCCCTCATTACATACTACAACATCAGATAACCCTAAATTTCCACTTATTATTCCAGCTTTAACCTAATGTAATTGGCCAGCTTTATGTATTGAAAAAGCAGGAAAGGGCTTTAAAAGAGTCACCTTGCAGTGGCTTAGTGGCAAGAAGCTGTGCTACAATCCCAAAAGAGTCAGCTTGCTTTGGTCATTCAAGTGACTCAAAGCCAGAATCACAACCGGAAATCAAGGATGTTCTTGCAGAACAAAAAAGATGGCAATTTGAGCCAAGTGATGAAGTACATGGTGCTCAGCTGCCAAAGGCCTACTGCAGAGTCTCTTCAATACAGAACACTGCCCAGCAAAACCAAGACTTGGGAGCCATTGTTTCAGCCACTAACTACAGAGCCAAAGCCACAAAAGAAGATGGGCTGTGAGTTCTTGGGCCGGGCTCTGTCAGATGTTAGGGTCCATTCCTCTGAGCCAAAATGGAAAAGCAGCTTGAAAGCAAGGAAGAGTTTACGGCATCTCTGAATGGTATGGGAGAAAAAACTGTAGTAATTGATTTCTCAGCTTTTTGGTGTGGGCCTTGCAAAATGATCAAGCCTTTTATCATTCCCTTTCTGATAAGTATTGTTGTGTTTCTTGAAGTTGACATGGATGGCTATCAGGATTTTGCTTCAGAGTGTGAATGCATATCAATGTTTCAGTTTTATAAAAAGGGACAAAAAGTGGGTAAATTGTCTGCTGCTAATAAAGAAAAGCTTGAAGCCACCATTAATGGATTGAGCTAATTGTGTTTGCTGAAAACAACTAGCTGTCAGCTGTATAAAACATTTTTTCACTAAAAAGATCAAGTATGAAGATTATATGCCCTATTTCAATCTCATTTATAGATGACAATAAAATACTAATTCTACAAGGACTGTAGTCTTCAATATGAACTGAAGCTCAACATCAAAAAGATAAAGATTCTCACCACTGGGCCACTTGGAAGCACTATGAGAGATGAAGAAGAGATTGAGGTTGTTAGTAATTACAGCTTACTCGGATCCACAATCAACACTCTTAACACTAGCAATCAGGAAATCAAAAGACAAACTGCATTGGGAAAATCTGCTGTAATAGACCTCTCCAGGGTGCTGAAGAGCAACGAAGTCAGTCTAGATACAAAGATACACCTAATCCAGGCCATAGTCTTCTCAATTACTTACTATGCTTCAGAGAGCTGGACAATGACTAAGGATGACAGACTGCCAAGAAAACAAACTATTCTGTCTTAGAGAGGGTGAAACCAAGTCTCTCCTTGGAGTCTAGGATTTTGAAGCTCCAACTCACATACTTTGGGCACGTGGCCAGGAGAGACCGGTCCTTGGAGAAGGACATCATGCTCGAAAGGGTGGATGGACAGCGCATGAGAGGAAGGCCCTGGATGAGAGGGATTGATATAGTAGGTGGGGCAATGGGAGTTGATGTGTCAGAATTAGTGAGACTGGCTCAGGACAAGGACGGGTTCAGAGCTGCTGTACATAGTGCTATACATCGCAAGTGACTCAACAGCACATAACAACAACAACAACATACTATATTGGGGGTTTTTGAATTTTTTTTTTTAATTTAAACCTCTTGTTTAGCGTCAACAAGACTTCGGAGAGGGCCTTTGTATTTAAAGTTGGTTGTTGTTATATTTTGGAAGAATATTTGTCTTAGTAGTACAGCACTCTTCTGTTAATATCCTGTGCTGAGGTAATCTGGGGTTGCTGTGATGCTGAACCTTGTGCCATTGGGGTGTCAAATGCCATAACAGTTACCCATGATGGACAGGATTGGTGGAGCTTACAGTTTAAGATAGTTTTGGAAGCAGCAGTGGCATCCACTTCCTAAACAACATGTCCCCAGAAACGCTATGAATTTTTATAAATGTCTATAGTTATAGAAAGGCTTCAGGCCTTTTGTTCATAGAGTCACTATTAGTCATGCTCTACTTGAAGGCAATCAACAACAACCCTTTAAAAAGTGATTGTCAACAGATACCTGATCTGCTCACAATGTGACATGATTAATTCTCAACTGAGGATAATGGTTCATCACAATCTTGTTAACAAAGTACTAGGCTGTTTTGTTTTTGTGGTTTTATTTCTAAAAATCCATTGTTTCACTTACAAATCAGGATATCACAGTAACTAAAGGAGTTTCAGAGCTCCAGTTCCAGAGTCTCCAGGGACAAGGCATGGGGACAATGATGAGCGAGGTTCCCCCATTCTCCACCCCAACAGTGGAATAAGGATAAGAGTGGGTCAATGGGAGCTCTTGGACAAAGTTTTGGTTTCTAAGATATTGTCACCATGGCCAAGAAGCCATGGACTGTTAAAGAGGAGGCAAGAGGATAAGAAGATCTTCCAATCAAGATGTCACCACAAGAACTCTGAGATGGCATCTAAGAGTTTCAGTTCCTCATTTAAATAAACCACAAGAATGTTTCAACTTAATCACTACTCCTTCACAGTAAATAACACCTCTGGGAATTTGAACAGAAAAAAATAATCTGCTTTCTCTTCTTTTATTATAAGAGTGCTCCAGGTAAATTTTAAATAAAATACAAATATGTAGTAACTGGATAATGAATAAATATGAAATTCCCTTTCCATATGGGCCCACTGAGAGGAGGGATGCCAGTTTTCCACCCACCCTGACAGGCATTATGTAGATTCATATCAGAGGGAGTTCTGGGGGCAAGGTCTGTAGTGAGCTGTGCTGCTGACACAAAGAGAACATCTCCAGTGGTTCAAATTCCTCGCCAGCTCACGGGATTTACAGCCTCAGAAACTGACTGGAGAGTTAGCTACTGTCAGAACCAACTCAGGGGTAGTGAGTTTGAGTTTGAGCATGTTAAAGATACCCCATTAAAAATTTACCTTACCTTACAAGTGGAAAAAAGAGGCAATATTATGCTACTCATCTATAGTACACTCAAGTTTAAAATGGAAAACATGGGCTGCTGTCAGGAACAACATAGATAACCACTAGGGAGTGGTAGAAACAAGGCAAATACCATAAGCTTAGGTCACCTTTTTCTTCTCTTCAACTTCCTCAGCCTCTCTCTGCCAAACTGTTTTCATGTCGAAGTCGAAAGGCCCTCTTCTGGACTCGTAGCTCCCATTGGCCTGACTAGGGCTGAATTCTTCATACACCATGTAATCCGGAAGAGAGATGACAGGGATTCTGTGGGGAAGACCCAACAATTATAGCCCAGAAGTAGTTCCACCCTCGGTTCTGTATCTCAGCATGACCACAAGTCTCCAACCAGGCCATGAAGAGATTCGCGATTAGCAGCCATCCCACCTGTCAGCTGAAGGAACAAGCTGTATGCTTTAGTAAAGTGAGACAGGTCATGGCATGGTGTTACAAAACAGACATTCTGTAAAACAGTACTTTTTTTTCTATTATCTACTACTTTGTCCCACCCCTCAACATAGGTAAAATATGCTTAGAAGTTTACTAAGTAGCAGAAAATCATCTATGATGGCTAAAGTCACATAAGAACCTCATTGACAAGCACTAAAACTATCTGGCTTTAGATTCCTGGAGTCTTGTATCCTCTGTCAGTACAGGGAAGCTTTAATAGTGCAGAGTGTCTGGATTCAACCTGACTTAGCAAATAACTGCTTCATGGAGTATCTGAAGGCCCACAGCCCAATCAACACCCAGAGCAGGGACATCCTCCCCTAGACCCTGAAAAAACAGCTCCATGTACAGAGCTGGGGCAGAAGAACAAAACATGAGAACCACGACAGCCTTACTTTGCTTGCTTCCTCAGTTTCCTGTCCCACCTTAGTCTTCCAACTATTGGAATAATACTTGGACCCCCCCCCCCAGGGGATCCTCCCAGCAGTGAGCTGCCACTAATAGCCACAAGGGTTGGGGTAGAACAGGAAGACACAAAGCCAGAGTTTTAATTTAGCAGGAGAAGTGAAGTAGGCAGGGTGTGCAGCATGGAGGGAGACGGGGCCAGAGAAGGTATCAAAGTCAAGGCAAGAAAGAAGGTAGTATAGGCTCAACTAAGCACAAGGAAGGTGTAGGATGGCAGGACTGTCAGTGCAAGAGGAGGGAAGGAATATAACTGAATCAGCAGAATGTCACAAAGAGCAGTGAGAGGAAAGGAGAGGCCTGTGGACACCCAGGCATCTACCCCTCCCTGAGACCAAGAGCTTGAAAGAAAGCCCTGCATGGAATTTGCAATATGCAAGTGGAGAGGGCAGGAAGTAGTGGATGATTCAGAGCTGAGGGTCTGGACAAAGACCACCAAAAATACAGATCTTGGCATGGAAAGAAAGCCAAAGCATGAGGAGCACCATTGAGCAGCTCAAGAGGACACAGGCAAGAGGCTCTACAACATGCAGCATCAGACCATGAGCACCAGGCATGACTCCAACAGACAGCAGAGCAGCCCTCTCAGTGTCAAGGTTCTCTGCAGACATAAAAAAACACCCACAACCCAGAGAGGTAGAAACAGGCTGGAAAACAACAAAGAGAGGAAGAGTTAAAGAATAAATACCATTAAGGTAGCAGATCCTGGATTTTCACATGTTCAGTAAAGGCACAAACAACCTGTACTCTCTACCTGCTACCTCCTCCAACTGTTCTATATCCTGCAGCATCAGTTGGGAGGATGAGACCCCTGGGAGGAAGGAGGATACTAAAGACTCCAGAAACTAGGTCATTGCTATTAATCTTGAATGAGCAATAAGTGTCCAAGGCATGGGAAAAGAAAAATGCTCTCGTCCTCCCAACCAGGCCTGGGACCACCATACAAGGGGTGGTGAGGTAATCAGGCCTCTTACTGCCTGCTGGGAAAGAAAACAGAAAGGGAAGGAAATTTGCACTTGAAGCAAGAAAGGCCAGGGAATTCTATAACCCACACTGGGGTCTTCACTAAGTGTCCATGTGGTCTGAGAAGGCTCAACATAGACAATCTTTGAAGAATACATCATTATATAAAGTCAAGACACCCACTGGCCTGTGGCTCATGGTGCCTAGTCTAAGTAGGTTTCTCCCTGGGCAGCAGGAAGATACTCACATCTTCAGAGGAGTGACAGGACAACTGGGGCACTTCCTGTGCAGAACCTTTTCTAGTCACATCAGGCAAAGTAGAATGGGGCATGGTCCAAAAAAGTTAGGAAACCCAAACCTGCCAAATCTCCCTCTAATACTGGGATTTAACTGTAAGGCTACACAAAATAGGTCACTTCCTAAACTATGTTTTTGTTGTTAAGTATTGATGAGTTGAGCATGACTCATAGCAATCCTATGAACAAAAGACCTGAACTGTGTTCTGTAACTTTAGTCATTTCTCTACATTCACAGAGTTTCCAGAGGCATGTTGTTTAGAAAGTTGATGACACTCCTGCTTCTAAGCCTGTCTCAAACTGGAAGCTCCACCAAACATTGTCCATATTGGGTATCCATTATATCTGACACACCAGTGGTACAGCATTCAGCATCACAGCAAGCCCAAGTTACTTCAGTATAGCAAACTGACAGACCAGGGCTGTAGCACATAGAAGACTATTCATCTCAAACACAATTAACATCATGCCATGAGGCCTCCTTGGGCCCAACCACCTTTAAAATACAAGGCCTGTCCACCAGGTCCTGGTTGACGTTAAAGGAGAGGCTTCCAATGTAGCAAATCCAATCAGCTCACACCTGAGTGTGAATGAAATACCCAACCAAACAGTCTACACTCAACCCTCACCAGAAACAAGAAAACACACTTTCCAGGATACAACTGCTTTGCCAGGTTCAGCTAATAATGAGCTGTGGGCTGGAAGCTTCTTCTTTAAAGTCAATGAGGACTTGGTGGGCAGGTCTTGTATTTAAAGGGCGTCTCGGCCCTGACTAGGTCTCCATTTATGTGTGAAGCAGTAGGATTATGGAAAGCGGATTCTCATACTGTATGAGAAACTCCAAATTTCCTCCATTTTTCTTTCTAAAGTTCTTTTCTGGGTTATTTCCTTTCTTTACTGTGTAATTGTAACACTGGAGGTAGGCAATATCAAGCCAAAGCATTTGTTTTAAAACTAGAGGATATAAGAATTCTGAAGACTAAAACCACTGTGGACAGAGGCGGAACATGCAAATAACATGGAATAAGGTCTTGGAAATTTGATAGCCAGATTTTCCTGACAAACTATTGGGAAAGGATATGAGATAATATTTCATGTTACTTTAATAGTCTACAAAAATGGCTTGAAAGATAGTCTTAATGTGCAAACATTGGAATATTTTGGCAATCAAACATTACTGGGGCTCTCATATGATTATAGAAATTTAGTATTTTCTATATTCTAGTTTTACATAATGATGTTGTTTATACATCAGATATAAACAAGTCTCACATCATAGAAAACCAGAAAGTTGAAGCAATTTGTTAATAAGGAGGCCACAGGCATAAAGCTCTATGGGCATACCATCACTCCATATTTCTAGGACTCTGAATTCTAACAATTTATGCTGCTTCCCACAAAACAGTCAGATATTATTAAACACAGCACCAGAACTACAACACAATGTCACAATATTGGTATCAGGTTTAGATATTTGCATTTCTAAAATTCTAAACTCTTTCTCTGTGTGTATGGGGAGATAGAAAGAATTACAGAAAGAGAGAGAGGAAGGAAGGAGTTAAGCTCTAGTGGCCTAGTGGTAAGGAGCTCTGGTGGATCTGTGGTAAGGATTGTGCTGCCAACACAAAGGCAGGTAGTTAAAATTTACCTGCAGCTTCAGAGGCGAAAGATGGACAATATCTCCCCATGCAATTTATGGCCTCTGAAAAGTCACTGGAGGTTCAGCTATGGTACATAACAACAACATTATAGGTAGGTAGGTAGGTGGGTAGGTGGGTAGGTGGGTAGGTGGGTAGGTGGATGGATAGATAGATAGATGATAGATAGATAGATAGATAGATAGATAGATAGATAGACAGACAGACAGACTAAACTTGAGAAGTCAAAATAGGTGTGCTTTAAAATACTCACTCTCTCTGGTCGGCCGTTGGGGGTTTGCTGTGGTGGGTGTACCAGTCCGGCACCGAGTATGCCACTGGAGAGCTTTTCCGGGTTCCAGGGCCAAAGTGCTTCAGGAGATCTCAAAGGGAAAAATATTGGCCTGTGAGTGGTTTCTTGCTTCCCACTCACAGCAAACAGACTGAGGCCCGTGCTTGACGAAACGTCACCACACCCAGCCACAGTGTCAGCAGTCACTACTGAAAACTAGCAAGGCACCAATGCTCCTAACACCAATTACAACTGAAGAAAGAGTGTTGATTTCACCTTTGGCTTCTTAGGCAAAGTTATAGTCTAGAACAGAATACTAGCATAATAAAGGAAGGGAGATGGAATTTGAGTCTGGACAGGAATGCAGCACAGCCTAGACACTTCAGGCCCAGGAACTTCCAGAGCTAGTCAAGTTAGGAAACAAGCCTACCAAGGCAACCTCAAGCCCACAGACTGCATCTCTTTAATTTTTAAAGTTATGCTATAGTCTAACATGTCAAACACATGAGATCACAATGGACCTACAAAGAATAGAAGACAAATTACATCTGAGTAATGTTTTGCTCTTAATGGAAGCAAATTAATTTTTTTATTTGACCAAAATACATTTTACTTTAT